ACTTGCTTCTCCCAGAGAAAGCATGGCAGTTGCTTCTGTCTGCCTGTCTGCCTGCCCGAGTCCCCACCTCCACTTTCCCCATCAAGCAGGCCCTGGGCAAAATCACCGCTTCCTTGCTAAATCTGTGCTTTCCCCTATACCCTGAGGCACCTATGGCTTAGATTCCCCGATCTGGCTAAGGCTGTCCAGTCCTCTGAGCTGGTAATACAGCCCCTGTACCCGTATACCCAACCTCATTCATGCCTAAACATTTATTTAAAACTCACATGTCCCGGGCTCACCTAGCCACCTGTATCGGATATCTCTGGGTAGGTATTTCTCAAACTTCATAATCTTATCTGAACGGTTTTTATCCAAAAATGATAGCTTATTACGCTATCAGGAAATTCTATAACCTTCTAACCCAGGCTGGTTTTCTCAGTGCTGGCCTTGACAGCTGGTAATTTCAGAGCAGCCATCTCAAGCCAAAAAAAAAAAAAAAAGGGAATATAATTAGTATTCTATATTTCTATTAAGGTTCTGGAATTACAGAACAGACTTTCTATTCTGAAATGGCCAATGCCATGGCACAGATGTATTTCCTCGGCAGATGTCTCCTCCTTGTAAAGGCTGCAGAACTGCTAATGAGACGTGATGGGAGCGCGTCCTAGCTGCAGCCCACGTGTGCAGACCCTGGGGAGCACAGGCAGTACTTCTGCACCCGCGTGAGCAAGGGGAGTGTGTTGGCTCTATGTTTAGAGACTATCTTTTTGGAATTTGATTTGGCGTGATAATCTTTAAAAAAAAAACCCATCTCATCCTTAATGGTTTATCAGAGTAATGTGATTGGTTTCTCTGTCTTTATTCTGTGGGTCAGAACAGTTTGGTTCCTGTAGAAAGTGAGAGACAGGAAATGAGCTATGGGACCTGTGCCGCGTCTGTTCTTCTTGGACCTGGTGCTGCTTTTAGGCTGTGGAATATTCAGCATCCTTAATAAGCTTTAGAGTCGGCCTTCTTTCCAATTTGCTTCCCACGGGTAGGATGGGGCCACTGTGGGTATGAGACTTGGTAGCGCCCGAGATGATTTCTGGAGGTACCGAACTGATATTAAAAAGCATTCAGTTACATGATGAGAACGTTATTTTCTTTTCAATTTTCTTTCAATCTGGGCTGTAACTGCAGAGAGAGACTCTATCTGGGGCCAGAATGTCCTTAACACTTGTTAATTTCTCCCTTGTGGCTAAGAGAGGACAGGTTTCAGGCAATTTTATCCGACTAGAAATGAGTGACAGATTGTCATTGTATTTACTTTTATGGTTACTTTCCATTTATGGCAAACAATCTTGGTTTTCCATTTATTACAAATGATATGTTTCCTTTTTAAATGTTGGGTGTGAAAAAATGAGACAATTGAAAGAAAAATGTGAATAATAATCAAAATCTTCACATGGTGGCAATGATGCCGGCAATACAGCCATACTTCGAGAATGACTACTGGGAGCATTGAACAGTGCCTGACCTTGGCTTCATGTAAGACTATTCTGGGGAGCTTAAGAGATCCAGATGTGTGGACCTCAACCCAAACCACGTAAACTTGACTCTCTGGGTGGGGCCCAGTATGTGCCTGAAACATCCGAGGTGTTTCCAGTGAGTAGCTGAGGTGGCAAACCACTGCCCACCTGTGCTGGGGCCACGTGCCCATCCTCTAACGCCACATCTTGCTTGCACCCTTCCCTTGTTTCTCTCTTGGGCCTCTAGCCTTCTTCTCATTCCTTTCCCCATTTTAATTCTTCTCTTTCCTAGCTCCCCCTCTTCCAGCTTTGCTAACAGCTATTCCCGTTAGCCATGCCCTCCAACATTGCTTCTTAGCTCAAGACATTGTTAAAACCATGTCGTGGCAACTATGTTAGAAAATTGCCACGTTGTCCTATTTTCCATGGCATTTGCTTGCCAGTTCATAGGCTCTTGGTGCAGTTTCTGAACACCTAAGCCTTTCTGGTCTTGTTCCCCGCCAGTGACTTGCATTGGCAACAACGATAATAATCATTCCTGGGCTCTTACGTGTACCTGCCACTGTTCTAACCACTTTACGTGTATGACCCTACATAATCCTGACATATGAAGGAGATACAACTTTCCAGGTGAGAAAACTGAAGCACAGGGAAATTAAGTATCTTGCCCACAACCATGAAGTGGAAGAGCCAGGATTCAGACGCAGGCAGCCTAGCCCCAGAGCCCACCTTCCGAACAGAGGAGGCCCCAAGTTGGTTGCTCATAATCCTGCTTCAGGTGTCCTGGCAGGAGATGAGTCACACATCACGCAGGCTGCTCTCCACTGCAATAAGAAATTGAAGTTTGGACCCACTGTCTGCTTCAGTGACATTTGGAATGGATAACTCTTTTTATTTTCAACTTAAATGATAGTATCTTTAGTAGGGAGCCCACAGCTTTAAATTCCATCAAGATTTTAACTCATCACCATTCAGAAGAGAGTGGCCTTAAATGATTTTGTGTGTGTGTGTTGGCTGTCAGGACTATAAATTGAATATGTAAAAGCCAGCCTCCAAGATAATTCTGCAACTAGCAGGGGACAACTCAGGAACTTTTGGTGACTTTGATAAGGCTCTTCATTGGCTTATCTGGGATGTGACCTTCTGCAGCCTCCCATGTTTAGACATTCCAGGGTATTTTCTGCCTTTTAAAAAGCATCTCATTTCTCATTCTAGTGTTTAATCAGAAAGAAACCCTTGGCTCCTTTCCATTCCTCATGGGAGAGCTCCATTTTTATGCTCAAATTTTTTATCTTTTGTGATACTTGGGGTTGCTGTTTTAGGAGGCTAGACCCTCTGCATTGCATTAAAACCTTCCGCTTGAGTTTGGTGAATTCTCTGGTGGCCAAGTGCCCTGCGGGCCTCTGACCTGTTAGAGATTTTAGGACAATGAGTCATGGGGCTGAGTCCAAGACATCGTGCCTGAGGCACAGTGAACATTCACACCAAGGATTCTTTTTCCCATTTTCCAAGCCCCCAACAATAATAAGACATTTTATGTACATTATTTTATCCAATTCTCCCAACAGTCCTCTTCTGCTGGAATTATGCGTCTGTTCATTTTTCTAGACGAAGAAACAGGGTCACAAGGCGAGGGAGGCAGCATGCAGAAGTGGGTCTGAGGAGCCGCAGGGCCCCGTGCGTGTTTGTTTTGTGTTTTGTCCTCTCCCCGGCTGGGTGAGCTTAGATACTGTCTTATGGGAAGAAATACTTGGAAGGCAAAGGAGCAGTGTGAGGACCATGTGTTCCGCTTCTCGGTGGCTCTCGGGCCTGAGCCAGCCTACTCCCCCTCCCAGACCATTTGAATATGGTCCTGCCTGTCACCATCCTGTACTGTGGCTGCCAGGTAAAGAGGAAGTAAGGACATTGGGCAGCAGGAGTCAGCACACAGTGTGGCCACAGATTAGTAAGGGCAGTGCTTGTCTGTGACATCTGATCTTAGGGCTTCCCCCACCTCATTTGTGTCCAAAGACCCAACATCTTCAGCATTCTCCCACCCGCCCCCTCTACCCCTGCCCGCTGCCAACTCCAGCACCTTCTTCTAAGTTTCCTCTGTAATTCCTAATTTAACAATCAAACTATGCTGCTAATCGGTGCTAACAGGCTAGATCCCTGGTTCTCCAACTTTTATACACGTCAGAGTCACCTGGAGGCTTGGTGACCACAGCTCACTAGACCCCCACCCCCAGAGTTCTGGTTGAGCAGGTGCTGCCGGGGCTGCTGGTGCAAGGACCACACTGTGACAGCCACGGGGCCAAAGAGCCTGGCCCCAGTTATATGTGCACTGATGCCGTCTGACCAGTTAGGGACCCTGATAATGGGAAAGTTCAGCTTTATTGGGGAAAATGCCATGGACGATAGCAAGGAAGACATTCGGGCTAGTCAGGCTCAGGCCTCTGCCCCTGCTCATCATAGTGTGACAGATAATGACCTGTTAGGTTGGTGTTCAGTGGCTGTAGCTGGCCACTCCCACTGTCACAGCCTCTGCCAGCTCTGAGCATGTCATCTCTGAGCATGTCATCTCTGAGCATGCCTTCCTCTGTGGGTGAAATGACCTTTCCTTCTAATTATTTGTGATTCTCATATCTGTGCTTCTCAAGCTAGAATGTGCACTGAAATCATCTGGACATCTCATTAAAGTGAAGATTCTGAGTTGCTAGTAATTTTGAAGTGGAGCCTGAGAGTCTGCATGTCTCATGAGCTCCCAGGTGATATAACTGCTGCTGGTCCACAGACCCACATGTTGGTTAGCAATTCTGAACTCCACTGTGTACACCAATGGCTCTTGGCCCTGCTGTACGATGAAATCACCTGGGGAGCTTTTAAAAGCCAGGACTCAAGCCCATCCCTTGGCTATCCTAATTTAATTCTGGGCATTGGAATTTTTGACCCCTCCCCATCTCAAGTGATTCCAGTATACAGCCAGGGCTGGAAACCATTGGCCTTTACAAAGAAAAGAAATAACACCTTCTAGGAGCTCGGGTGCATGTGTAGTGCCGTGGACCGGGTCAGGCTGGTTGCTTAGATGGGGGGCGAGTGCGTCATTTCTCCCAGAGAGCTGTGAAGGTCCCCTGGGACTCTTATTAAAATTCAGATTCTGCCACTGCAGATTTGAGGTGGGCCCAGATTTCTGCATTTCTTTTTTTTTTTTTTTTGCCTCTAAAGGAAGTTGATACAGTTATGGGTTTCTGCATTTCTAGTAGGTGCCTGAATGTCGCCGATGCTGCCTGTGCAGGCTGGTGCTGAGTCCCAAGGCTTGCCCACAGAGGCCATGCGATTCTCTTTGTCTCTGTCAATGGTGGCGGCAGGTAGCTTTTCTCAGGTTGAGCATCAGAGGCTTTTGGCTTTCCCTTTCTCACCCCTTAATTCCCCTCCTGACATCTCTTTCATTCAGCTTGGTATTGACACAGGACACTGGGCAGGATGGGCCAGTTCTCCTTTGGTAATATTTTCTTCTTTCTGTCTTCACAGTACGAGATGCAAAAAACCTCATCCCTATGGACCCAAATGGGCTTTCAGATCCCTACGTGAAGCTGAAACTTATTCCTGATCCCAAGAACGAAAGCAAACAGAAAACCAAAACCATCCGCTCCACGCTGAACCCCCAGTGGAACGAGTCCTTCACGTTGTAAGTGGTCTCTTCTTGATCACATTTTGTTCTGCACACCATAGAGTTGCCCGCCTCATTATTAGGGATCATGAGGTGGGTTCATTTTAAATGTCTTTAAACACGTCTTCATTCCTAAGTTCTTCTCAGACTGCATTAGGGAGGTAGCCGTCATCACCTCTGTTTGATGGATGGTAATTCTGTTTACCAAGAGTTGCACAAGGCAGGCCCCAAATTATTATCGTTACCTACTCTGTACAAAAAATTCTATTTAGGATATTAAAGACAATAGAAAAACGTATGAGAGGTGCCCACCTCTTGATGAATTTAGGTTCTTTTGAGAGTTAGGGGCAAGAATTAAAGAGTTAAGGCAAGAATTAAATGGTTTTTAGAACACAGAAGAAGGGAGTAATATAGAAGGTGTTAACTGCCACTAAAACGGGAAGATCATTCTTACCTACAAGCAAGGAGGAATTCCTAGAGGAGGTGTCATTTAAAGTGGGCCCTGAAGGGTTGTCAGGATTTCAGAGGTAGAGATGGTAGAAGGGGGAAAAAGGCGGAGGGAATGGTAAGAGAGAGTAAGTCGGGAGTGAGAAAGCACTGGCTGCAGCTGAACAAAGGCAAGGGGTCCTCTCTGTGGACTGGTACACAGGAAGTGCCAGGAAAGTAGCTCTCTATTGTAGAGGGGCCAGTAAGCTTTGTTCAGTAAAGGGCTAGATAGTATACAGTTTAGACTTTGTGAGTCATACAGTCTCTCTTGCACCTACAGAACTCAAACATTCTAGTGCCAAAGCAGCCACAGACAACATGTAAACAAATGGTCATGGCTACGTTCTAATAAAACTTTATTTATAAAAATAGGCAGTGGGCTCAATTTTGCCTGTGGTTCATGTTTTGCTTACCTCTGGTGTAGAGCTTTGCTTGCCAGTGTAAGGGGTTGGTATTTTATTGGGACAGGAAGAGAATTGAGTCTATTGTCTATCTCACGCTCGGATCAGGAGCAGGTGGTGTCTCCCAAGAAACCACAATCTAGATAACCTAGTGTTTCTGTCTGTGTGTTTTGTAGCAAATTAAAACCTTCAGACAAAGACCGACGACTGTCTGTAGAAATCTGGGACTGGGATCGAACAACAAGAAATGACTTCATGGGATCCCTTTCCTTTGGCGTTTCGGAGCTAATGAAGATGCCAGCCAGTGGATGGTAAGGAAGCCCCTGAGGTTGAGTATGTCTCAAAAACGTCAGACAATTTAGAGATTTAAGTCTCTGAAATGGCCGTTGAATGTCTAGTTACCTGGCTGTAGTCTCTCCATGGGCGGCATTTCATGAAACAGCTTGACCGGGCGTTAAAGAAGAAGAGTTGCTGAACTTGGTGTGGTACAAACACAGTGCCCTGACCCTCCTTCTCTCCCATGTGTTTGAAAGGTACAAGTTGCTTAACCAAGAAGAGGGTGAGTACTACAACGTGCCCATTCCAGAAGGGGACGAGGAAGGAAACATGGAGCTCAGGCAGAAATTCGAGGTGAGGCTACCAACAAAATTACTGGAAACACCTTTTCTTTGCAAAGCGTAGCTTTAGGAAGGGCCAAATTTTTGTGGTCCCATCATTGAAGGCAAAAAGTAATTTATATGTTAATAATCTTTTTTTCTCTGTCTTAAAACATACATGTTGTGTGATCGCTTCCCTTGGCAAGCTGTTGACATTCTATGTCTATTATCATTTGAAAAATGGAAATCGGAAATATCCCAGAGATGGAAGCGTGGTTGGTTTCTGCATAAGAACTCGGTTCGCACATCGCTGGAGAGACAAGCCAGGTTCTGAGAGCAGGATGCGCCTCACTAAGAAGGGCTTGTGCTCTTTCGAAAATGGGGGAATCACTTTGGCCTTTTCTTAGGAGTCCCTTTACGTGTGTGTGTGTGGTTCAGCTATCGTGCCGGCATCTGAGACATCCCCTCACCTTACAGAAAGCACAGTGTTCCCAGTTTTGTTCTGAGACACCAACTTAAACAAATATTCTGTGTTTTAGATTCCTTTTTATCTTTGCTCCAGGTGTTTAGAGAAGGCCACCCCCTGCTCTGCTTCCTAGCCGGCATCTCTGTGCGCCTCTGCCCAGGTTCACTGGTCGTCTTCCCCCCTCCCTCTTCGGCTGCTTCTCTCTGGCTGCTTTTTCCTCTCCTCTCTGCCCCTTCTCCTCTCGACTCACCAGACAGCTCGGCTGCTAACGGACATCCTTTTCTCTAAGCACCTGCCTTGTGTTCCAAGTCACAACCTTTGATTTTTTCCTATCTCTGTAACACCCTGCATTTGGGCTGTCTGGGGGATTCCTATGCCAGCCTCTTCAGCCGTGTGACAGGTTAATTGCTTTTTGAATCTCTCTCTTCTTCAAACTAATTAGAGTTCCCTAAAAGTTCCCCACCCTAAAAACACACACACACACACACACACACACTCGTGTGTACAGACACTGAACTGTTACTGAAATGTTGACACTCATGGGCTGTTGATCTTGTTTTTCTTCTTCTGTTGTTCCCAAAGAAACACGGCGGTCAGGTCTAGATAGAATGAATTTCGAAGGATGTGAAATAAAAAATTGTTCACATTACTTTTTTGTGCTGCTGTTTGGTTAAAGTTGATGTTGGTGGCAAATGCTTAACGGCAGGGGCTGTCCGGTTGGGTGTCCCGGGGAGCACACGTGAGTGAAAGGAGTCACAGGTAATATAAATACGTGGCAGCTGACAGCGGCCTCAGGGCTGATGAGGCAGCAGGGAGCAGTGGGGCCTGGGGCGAGCTGGTGAGCTCGAGCCCTGTCTGAAGGCGGCAGCTGCTGCCACTCAGCGCCAGTTGATTATTGTCCTGCACAAATGCAGGCTCTTTCTACCAGAGCTTCATTCTTCAAGACAAGCTAAAAATCCAGGTTTTACATGACACATTCTGATTTCTCTTCATGGTGGCAGAGTTCTAAGGCTAAAACTTAGAACCCTGTGTAGGATAAACACACTTCTACTGTTTTGGACACAGGTAGGCTTCAACCAGCAAGAACCAGCTTAAGAACCAGCTTGCAGTCTCTGCTCTTAAAAAATATAGGAGTAAGCCAGGAGTGACAGGGCACACTGGTAGTCCCAGCTACTTGGGAGGCCAAGATGGGAGGACCTCTTGAACCCAAGAGTTCGAGGCTAGCCTGAGCAACATAGCGAGAATCCATCTCTTTAAAAGAAAAAAAAGAATTATTCTTAATTATGTATTACAATAATGACTATCTGTTTATATATATTTACATCGAGAAGAAAGATTCTTTCCAAAGAGGCCTTACCACATTTAGAGGGATTTAGGTACAAAGATGAAAGTCAGGGTTTAGTTAGGTTCACGACTCCATGCGAGGCACAGCTCTTTTTCTGTTTGTTTTTTCCTTCACTTGCCCGTTACCTCCTTCCCACCGCTGCGTCTGGAACCTGGAACGCTGCGCAGGGAGGGCTTTCGTGAGGCGCGTCCCGTGTCCCACCGCCCCTGCGGCAGGTGGGGCCCTCGAGAGAGAGTTTCTGGATGCTGAGTCCAGCAATACTGTGCTGTTTCAGGCAGGGGGAAAACCGGAGGGGCTAGAGTGAACCCCGTTTACTGCACTCCGTGCCAGGGTGCAGGCTGTTGGCAGTCACTGGGTCGGGAGCCTCAGTGCGGGGTGCAAACACGGGAGGAGCCAGCGGTGCGGGGCATCGAGACAGAGTCGCTCGCAGTCATCTGCAGCTTAGCTTTGCTCATGGAGAGATACTGACCCACTTTTTGTGCTTCATTTCTGTGGCTTCCTGGTGAGTAAACTTCCTGTTTTTCTGGGCAGTGAGTCCAGCTTTTTATAAAGGTCAGAGTTCTAAATGTAAAAAACAAACAAACAGGCCAGGGGGCTTGAGCAGAAGTGAAGCGTTTCCCTGGGGAGGCTGGTTGGAGGCCACACGTGCGCGTGCGTGCTGCCAGTTACTGTCCTCCCACCTGGGAGCACGGTGGACTTTGCAGGGACTCCAGCCCAAGGCCATATGCAGCCTCAGAGTGGAACGGTGACGTCAGCACAGTTGCACGGGGACAAGGGTGGCTCTCCAGCCAGTACTGAGGTCCATGCTCGGAGCACCTGCGTGAGCTATACTCCAGCGTTGTCGTCTTTTTTTTTTTTTTTGAGACAGAGTCTCACTTTGTTGCCCAGGCTAGAGTGAGTGCCGTGGCATCAGCCTAGCTCACAGCAACCTCAAACTCCTGGGCTCAAGCAATCCTTCTGCCTCAGCCTCCTGAGTAGCTGGGACTACAGGCATGCGCCACCATGCCCGGCTAATTTTTTGTATATATATTATTATTATTTTTTTTTTTTTGAGACAGAATCTCGCTTTGTTGCCCAGGTGCCACCATGCCCAGCTAATTTTTTCTATATATATTAGTTGGCCAATTAATTTCTTTCTATTTATAGTAGAGACAGGGTCTCGCTCTTGCTCAGGCTGGTTTTGAACTCCTGACCTCGAGCAATCCGCCCACCTCGGCCTCCCAGAGTGCTAGGATTACAGGCGTATGTATGTATATTTTTAGTTGGTCAATTAATTTCTTTCTGGTTTTGGTAGAGACGGGATCTCGCTCAGGCTGGTTTCAAACTCCTGACCTCGAGCGATCCACCTGCCTCAGCCTCCCAGAGTGCTAGGATTATAGGTGTGAGCCACTGCGCCCGACCCCAGCGTGTTCTTTAAACATCTTTCAGCTTGTGTTTCCTAGATACTACTCGGATTACATTGGCTCGTTTACTCAGAGCATTTAAAAAACACAACTGCGAGAGACTGGGCAGAAAGGCCCTAGAGGGTGGTATCAAAAAGATGCTGAGAATTTATGGCACCCGCCGTGCTTCGTTGTTAATGGAATATGCAGGTCTGATTTCAGGCAGGGGTTTGAGCACACGGTGGTTTTTCTGTTGAGGTCAGTAAAAGGGAGAGTGAGGGTACTTCCCCAGTGCCAGCTTGCTGGAAAGGCGTGCGCCAGGCCAGACGGTGTCCGCATCCGAGGAGTATTCCGGGTGGCGGGCAGCCTTTGCACGCAGGGTCTCTGTCCGTTGTGTCGGGTGCACTTTGGGGAACTTTCTTTCACGCTCCACCCCGTTCCCTCGCTCAGTCCCAGTAGGACTGATCCCAGTGTCCATAGGTGCCCCTCTTGGGATCCTTTCTCTCCACGTAATTGCCATCCTGACTCGCTTCCCATCACCTTAGTCCTTTCTTCCCCACCTCCTCTTTCGCAGGTACTTTCCCATCCTTTGGAAACAGGTTGAGTCAGCTGAGCAAGATTTTTTCTTAAGCCCAGTGGTGAGTCCGTATTGGGTGAAGCACAGCATAAAGCTTCATCCTTTTAGGAGCAGGCGTCACTCAGTGGCCTTGCACAGCGTCCATCAAGGTGTTCTTTCCACGTCTGTTTTCTAGGAAGAGTTAATCAAATGTAGCTTTCGAATCCTTCCCCAGAAATCAAGTCACTCGGTCTGATGAAAGCACAAGTCAGGGCATGTACAACTCTGCCGCCCTCGGCATTCATCTGATGAGTATGTGGAAAGTTTTTCAAGTTTTGATTGTGAGATCGAGAATCTTGGCAAACAGAACGATCAGTGTGTGAAGCTCTTAGGAGCCAAGGAAGATTCCAGGGTGGCTGGAAATGACATTACTCTCTATTATAGGTCTTCTTAGGTCAGTCCTTCTTCCTAAAAGACAAAACAAACCAGGACCGTGACAGTGATATTCGTGGACAGTGTGTCTGTGGGCCTTTAATCTGTCCCGTGTTTGTCTTCAAAATTAATCACACGTGTTCTCTGATTGGCAAAGGTAAAAGTACGCATCTTCTTCATTCGGTCAGCGAGTGAGGTGCCAGCAGTGAGCAAAGCAGGCTGTCCCTGCTTTCTGTGGAGCTTGCGTTGTGCCCCTGGGGGCCCTGTTCAGACCGCCTTGGTTGTGCAGCACGGAGCTTGCCGAGAAAGGAGCGCACCGGACCCCCTGTGCTGTTGTGCGTGTCCTTGGGTCTCCCGTCGCCACTGGGGAAGACTGGCGTTCTGTTCTCTCCTCCGCTTCTGGGCTCTGCTCTGGCTGTTGGTGCTCATGGCCAGAGCCTGGGACATGGTCCACCTGTCCTTGGGTCTGGAGGGTGGTTTAGCGCTGGCTCCACAAACCCCTGTAAATGGTCAGAGAATTAATATGTTAGGCTTTTCCGGCCATGCGGCGTCTGTTGCAGTAACTCACCTCTGCATTGTGGCACAGAGCAGCTGCAGACGATGCATGCACAAACAAGCACGCGTGTTCCACGAAAATGTTATTTACAAAAACAAAAACACAGAGCAGGTCAGATTTGGCCCATGGGCCACCGTTTGCCAGCTTCTAGAACCAAATCCTGGTGTTGTCACTTTTTAACCATGTGACCTCTCTGTGCGTTAGTGTCCTTAACTGTAAATGGGCGTAATAGCAATATTTACTCAGTAGCACTGTTTTAAAGATTAAATGAAGTGGCCAATAGAAAAGTCCCCAAAA